AAGAGTCCGCAGCCGTAAGGGTCCCGGTACTTGGGCGTCCGGATCGACGAGGGCTGGCGCTTTAAGGCCCCGGCTGCAACGGATTCTCGGGAGGTGCCGCTGCGCGGGGATGGGCTCGGGTGAGCCCCGCAATTGCAGGGCGACCTAGGGGCAGGTGAGGATGTTCTGGATCTGCAGGGACATGCTCGCCCGTGTTAGTTGAGGCTCCGGACTGGGTTCTTGAAGGATCCGGGCGTGCGCGTCTGTGTGTCTCACCACAGAGATTGCTGTCTTCTGCGTGCGGCATTATCCCCAGTAGGAGAAGCCGGGCCGGCTGCTTTCCTCCTATGACAGGTGTTCGATCTGGTCCTCCTGTCAGCGAGGCAGTCCTCGCGAGATTACACTAAGGTAGAGTCAGATCGAGGATAGTCATCTGGGGTTTTCCAGGGACTTGTGCCTTAAGGACTGTTCAAGGTGTGAGAAGTAAGCAAACCCCGGGTTCTGCAGCCTTTCTGCTTCCTATCCTTTGTCCCGTGCTGTATCTCTAGGCAAGGCGTAGGCCTTAGTTTTCCAATCCGTTGCAGGTGTTTGGCCCACAGAAGTATACTGACCCTGTGTATCAGGAATCCTTCAGTCTTAGGGGTTTTTTGCATGTGGCTTCTAAGCTGGAATACTCTGACAGTCTCTGGCCTGGGTCTTTCTGAATCTTATGAATTTGCTGGTCTCTCTGTACAATGGTTTCTCAGTGGCAAGAGGATTCCCAAATAGGAGGCAAGGGCCACAGAGGGTGAGAGTTACTTTTCCTCTGGGATTTCTGTGCCTAGTTATGCCCTAGAAAACTGTTAAGTGTGGAGTTCATACTAAACGTCCTTGATCTCATAGGCTTCCCAGCCAGCATCTGTGCTCAGTTTGCTTTTTAGCAAACCTAATCCTGGCACTTATAAACGGTGCTTAGATTTCCCTAAATCCAGGGGCACATCATATGGAGGGGTAGACTGTGCCTACTGGCTCTGTAGGAATTCTCCACCTGCTCTTGTACTGATGGGAAGAGAGAGGTCTGTAGTTTCTTGTACTTGGGAAAAATACTTTGCCATTGTTGTGCATGTCTGAGTGTGTGTACATACAGGAGCCCTCTGAGGTCAGGAGAGGGCATCTGCATCAGATCCCTTGGAACTGGAGTTTCAGGTGGCTGTGACACACCATGTGAGTCTGGAAACCAAACCTGGGTCTTTTGCAAGATCAGTAAATGCTCTTTAACCACTGAACCATTTCTCCACCTTCTATCTTACAAACAAACAAAAACCCAGCCCCGTTAGAACTCAAGTATTGGGCTAGCTAGCCAGTGAGCTCTGGGATCTTTCTGTCTTCTGCTGACTCCAGTGCTTGGTTTACAGAGGTGTGTCACCCACCCATACCCTTTTTGTACATAGGTTCTGGGATCTCTGAAGTCAGGTGCTCACTTTTGTTCTGCAAGCACCATACAGAAAGGTGTCCCCAGTCCCTTGTTTTCCTTTCCTTTTTTTTTTTTTTTGAGATAGGATGCTACTAGGTTCCCTGGTCTAGCCCTTATTTTACTTTTGAGGAAGGATTGCTGAGTCATATGTCTCAGCAGGCCTAAAATACAGCTATTCATCAGCAGGCCACACATAGATGAGCAGGTTATTGACAGGCCTGCACTGTTCATGACCCGCTGGACAGTTTGGTTTCCCTGTGCTTCTGGGGTATGAAATTGTCTCCTGTCTACTCTGCACAGCTCTAAGAACTTATTAGGAGTTATGCCTGCCAGGTGTGATGTTGCATGCCTGTCATCGTAGAAGAGGCAGAAGGACAGCCACAAGCCTGGGTTACACTGTGAGACCCTGTCTCAAGCTGAACAAAGAAGGGTTCCTTTGTACAACTCTCCTCCACTACCTGCCAACTCCATGTCAGATACTTGGGGGGCTTTTGTACCAGGCATACTTTGGAGAGGGTGTGGCCTGATACTGGCTCAGGGCTTGTCTCTCCTAATTAAGCTTCCTCTTCTGCAGGTGGCTGTCTGCCAAGTCCAGCACCATGCACACCCTTGTGTTCCTCAGCACACGGCAGGTGCTTCAGTGCCAGCCAGCTGCCTGCCAGGCCCTGCCCCTGCTGCCCCGAGAGCTCTTCCCCCTGCTGTTCAAGGTGGCCTTCATGGACAAGAAGACAGCTGTGCTGCAGGAGCTGGTGCACACGTGGCCCTTCCCACTACTTAGTTTCCAGCAGCTACTGCAGGAGTGTGCCCATTGCAGCCGAGCCTTGCTGCAGGAGCGGCTCAGCACAGAAAGCATGCAGGCTGTGATCCTGGGGTTGACTGCCCGGCTTCACACTCCAGAAAGAGAGGCTGGCATACAACCCTTTTGCAGGTATGGCTTTATCTAAGGGGCCCTCAGGCTAGGGGTACAAAGTGTATTCACTGAGTTGGCTCTAGGCTGTGGTCCTGAGGTTAAAAAGAGCTTAGTATGGCAATAGTCGTATTTGTTGCTTTTGTACAAAGTGGCTGGGAGGGAGGGATGTAGGCCTTGTCCCCTCATTCCTGCCTCTGGCCATCCTTGCTCCCAGGAAACATGCATTGCGGGTGCTAGACATGACTGGTCTTCTGGATGACGGTGTGGAGCAGGATCCTGGGACCATGAGTATGTGGGACTGCACAGCAGCTGTAGCCAGAACGTGTATTGCCCAGCAGCAGGGTGGGACTGCTGAGCCAGAGCTGTCACTACCGGTCCCTGTGGAAGTTCGTGTAGACCTTCGGGTAAACCGGGCCTCCTACACATTCCTTCACGAGGCACTCCAAAGTAGTGTGGACAGCCCACTGCGGCTTTGCTGCCGGGACCTCCGGGCTGAGGATCTGCCCATGCGCAACACTGTGGCTCTGCTGCAGCTTCTAGATGCAGGCTGTCTGCGCCGTATAGACCTGCGCTTCAATAACCTGGGGTTGCGTGGCCTGTCTGTGATTATCCCACATGTGGCCCGCTTTCAGCACCTAGCTAGCCTGAGGCTGCACTACGTGCATGGGGACTCAAGGCAACCTTCCGTGGATGGTGAGGACAACTTTCGATACTTTCTGGCCCAGATGGGCCGCTTTGTCTGTCTTCGGGAGCTCAGCATGGGCTCTTCTCTCCTTTCAGGCAGGCTGGATCAACTGCTCGGGTGAGTAGTTTCTACCATTGCTCTGTCCCTTCTGTATGTGAGGACACTCTCCTTGGCCTGCCTGCCTATGACCCTTCTGTAACTCCTTTGTCCCTGCAGCACCCTACAGAGCCCCCTGGAAAGCCTAGAGCTGGCCTTCTGTGCACTGTTGCCTGAGGACCTACGCTTCTTGGCTCAGAGCTCTCATGCTGCCCACCTCAAGAAGCTAGATTTGAGTGGAAACGACTTGTCAGGCAACCAGTTGATACCCTTCCAGGGGCTGTTGCAGGCTGTTGCAGCCACACTGCTGCATCTTGAGCTGACTGAGTGTCAACTTGCTGATGCCCAGCTGTTGGCCACACTGCCCACCCTGACTCAATGTGTCAGTCTCCGCTACCTTGGTCTCTATGGCAACCCTTTGTCTATGGCAGGACTTAAAGAGCTGCTTCGGGACTCTGTGGTACAGGCTGAGCTCCGCACTGTGGTGCACCCCTTCCCTGTGGATTGCTATGAGGGCCTTCCTTGGCCACCACCTGCCTCTGTCCTTCTGGAAGCCTCCATCAATGAAGAGAAGTTTGCCCGGGTAGAGGCTGAGTTGCACCAGCTACTGTTAGCTTCAGGCCGTGCCCATGTACTCTGGACCACTGACATCTATGGGCGCCTGGCTGCAGACTATTTCAGTCTCTGATCTCCAAGGTATTGATGAGATAGGTCAAGAGCCTTGGGAACTCGGCTGGAGGCCTGACACAAAGGCTTTCTTAGGTTTTATGGGATTTGCCTTGCTCCTGGGTATACCTTGAGTCACCTACTTTTTGGCAGTATCCTCACCTGTTCCCAGTGTCTGAATGTTGGTATCTCAGGACTGTGCTCCCCTGCTCTGTATGTTGCAGCCTCTCTGCAGAAAACTGAGTCCCTGGGCATACCCCATGCCCTTAGAAGGAGTGCAGTGCACTAGTGCACTGAGGTAGATGCTAAGATCATCTGCTTCAGGGAGTCCCCATGCTGTCTGGGGATTTACGCTGTGCATCTTGCCTGGCACCCGAGGCGCAGTATTACCTGGCTCTGTAGGGTGTGAGCAAGGTACAATGTGCAGTGTCTGGAACTTGAATTTATGAGCTTTTTTTGGTGTGTGTGTCCTGACTGGATGGGAAAGACTTGCCTACATTTCTGGTGTTGCCTCATCATGGCAAGAAGCCAAGTATCATCCAAGCTACTGACCCATTTCCTCACTAGGTTATCACGTTATTCCTACTGTCCAAAGCCAGAGTGGATCGCCAGAGCTGGCAGCTGGGGACGCCTTATCTATGGCCTGGTCACATACCCACAGTTACTAACCCACCACACAGCATTGTAGAGCGGCTTCAACTTTACTAATGAGCATGTGCGGGGCTGCACCGCCCAATCCCCGGTGTCCACGTCATTGACGCGCGCGGCAGGCTTAGCAATGGATCTCATAGGCAACACGTGGAGGGAGGCGTAGCCCAGACATAAGCCCTTCCGGAGGGTTTTGTTCAGCTGGCTCCTCAGGCGGTAGCTCTGCGAACAAAGGCTTGGAACGGTCAATGACGAACATCTCGTGTCCGCGTTCATCACGGAGTTCCTCGAGCTGCGCAAAGGTGCAAGGCCCGTCTGAATAGTCGTTGACGAACAATGTGCCTTCCCCCGGGGGCGCAGGCACCTTTTTACGCCGCCGCCGGCGTCGGCAGATCATGGCAGCCAGGAGCAGCGCAGTGAGCGCCAGCAGCACGATAGCTGCTGCGATCGCTGTCTGCGTTGCTAGGCCCAGGGCGCGGAAGGCCATGCTGCCTGCCTCGTGCCGGGGCTCGTGTCCCACCGGGCGTGTAGCCGGGGCCTGCGGGGCGGGTGGCTGCTGTGACTGCTGCCGGGATACGTTGACCAGGAGATGAAAGGGCACACGCACTTTGCCACCAGCATTGGTGGCCTCACATTCGTACTTGCCAGCGTGAGCTAGTGTGATGTTTGTGAGGAAGAGCATTCCGCTGCCAGTGTCACGGGTCGCATACCCACCCAGGCCTGGTGTTCCAGGTTCCAGCTGGGCTTGGGCTTGAGGTTTGCCATCGCGAGCCTGGGGCACCTTTCTCCAGACCACCAGGGGCTGTGGGTATCCTGATGCCTGGCAGGCTACCTGCAGGTCCTCCCCCAGGTTAGCTGTGAGCTCTGGGGGCTCTACGTTCACAGAGGGAGGAATGCAGATGAGGCTACCACCAGATACTTCTAGTAGATTCTGTAGCGCCAGGCGTGGGGGCTCAGCACATGTGATCTTCTTGTCTCTGGAGCTCAGCAGCCGACGGCCCCCCTCTTTGATCCAAGAGCCCAGCCAGTGAAGGGCGCAATCACAACGCCATGGGTTCTCTGTGTAGGGCAAGAACACAGCCTAGGTAGATGGTCCTGCTGATCCAGACAAAAACCCTTTCCCACCTTTTACAGATGCCTCTGGAGTCCCGGAACCCTTACCACCTCTTCCCTCAGTCCAAGTTCCTAGGAGTGTGTGTGATGCTTCTCTGAAATCCCATTTTGTAAGGTTCCACGTCCTCTCATATTCCAGCAGTCCTGAAAACCTGTTGTCAAATGTGCACTCCAGTTTTTGCCTGTCTGCCCTCTGATGACAAGTTGCAAGAGCCTCAGTTCTGTTAAGTTTACGCTGTGGAACTAGTACTTATCTTCCTTGCACAGGTGCATGAACTCTACTAGCACTCCCTGGTGGTCCCTCACCAAGGCTGAAGGTTCTGGTGTGACCCTGTCATGGACTGCCATAGTGCAGCAAGAGAGAAAGGGAGGCAAATCTCCATAGAATCTGGTTGAAGCGTCTCACCAAGTGTGACTCAAGGATTACAGCACAATTAACATTTGCTTTGAAGAATGTCAACATAATCATATTCCTTTTAAATACAGAGGAATGTTAAAATAGCAGTGAAACACACTTAGAGCCTAAGCATATATAAATATGATCTTCAAGAATGACCTTACTCCTTTTGTAGGTGATTACTGGGGTAATCATAAGACTAAACCTTTGTTTACAGTAAGGGCATCTTCCCTTACAACCATTGGTTCCTATGGATTTATTTGCCCTATCAATTGTAACACCATCCAATGTACAGGAACCATCCTATAGTCTCACTTAAGTTTTGTTTTTTGAGACAGGCTTTCTCTGTGTAGCTCTGGTTGTCCTGAACTAGGGTAGCCTTGAATTCAGAGATCTCCTGCGTCTGTCTCCTGAGTGCTGGGACTAAAGGCTTGTATCACTATGTCCAACCCACTTAGGTTCTTTATTGTTTGAGATGTACTTTCTGAAGCCATCAAAACCAGTATATATGGCTACTGTCAAGGCACTTATTTGTGATTGTAACACCCACACCAATGCTCTTGTGTGTCTTTCTTCCATAGCACCTGTCTTAACCTCATGTTTTACACCTATGTTCCCTTTAATAAACCCCAGCTCTGTCACATCCTGGCTTATTCTGAAATTCTTCTGCAGTGATGTGAAGGAGCTGGCCCTACCTGAGTCGGGGTCTGTAAAAAATTAAGAGAACTCCCCAGGTTGATGTGGTCACAGTGTGGCATGGTCTCTGTTCCTACCATGAGCTGACAATAGGAACCCCTTGCATACCTGAGCCTGCTTCTCCCTACTTCTCCCTCGAAGATCAGACCCTTGCCAAAGGAGGAGTTACCTGTGAGGCGCAAGACTTGTAAGCTGGTCAGGGGCTGCAGGGCCTCTCTGCTGATGGTGCCCAGTTGGTTCCTGCTGAGGTCCAGCAGGGCTAAGGAGGAAAGCCCAGCCAGGGCCTGGTCCTCCAGTGATTCAATGCTATTTTCTTGAAGATGCAGCTCCTGCAGTCGCTGAAGTAGGAACAGCAGATCATCAGGAAAACGGGCCCTGGGAAGCTAGACAATATTGACTTCTCTCCCCTAACCACTCCCGCCAGCACGGCAGTTATTGACACCACAGCAAGATCCCGCACTTTTGGCATTTGTCGCTCACCGGCAGGTGCAAGAAGGTGAAATCCAGCAGCTTCGCCAGCTGGTTTCCAGCCAGGTATAGTACGCGTAGCTGGACCAAGCCCACAAACGCACCGCCACGCAATCCCCGAAGCCGGTTGCCGGTGAGCGCCAATTCAAGCAGGCGTGGCTGTGCACGGAAGGCGCCCGACTCCAGTGCCCGCAGGGTATTGTTATGCAAGTAGAGGTGGCTTTGGGCAGCCAGTGGCGCCAGGGCGCCTTGCTCCAGGTGCGCGATGCTGTTGTCTTGCAGGAACAGCGTCTGAAGGTTGTGGGGACCAGAGGGTTACTTCACCATGTGACATGTCCCACTCCCGTGGAGCGTCCCATCCCACTCGCCTACCTTCTCACCCTAGTGACCTTCCACCACACCTCTGATGCTTACACAATCTCCTCCATTGCAGTGGGGCACTCGTAGCCCACTACTCCAATCCAAGACCCTCCAGTCCCACATAGTGCCCACCTGCGTCCCTGGGGGGATTCCCGGTGGGACAACACGCAACCGCAGGGCGCCGCACTCCACTGTGGCACTGTAGCAGCGGCAGGCGGCGGGACAGCCAGTGGCGTGGGGCGGGAGTCCCGGCAGCAGTGGCAGCAACAGCAAACCCAGCAGTAGCAGCAGCAGTGGGGGCGCCCCTGGGGCCATTTCCGAAGAGCCCCACCAGGAAGCTGAGGCTTCCCCAAGGACTGGACCCGGTCGGGAAGAGCCTCCTGAAAGAGGTTAGCAGGCCAGCACATGAGCAGGCATGGTGGATCATGTTCTTAATCTCAACACTGGGGATGCTGAGGCTGCAGGATTGCTGTAAATTCAAGGATAGGCCTAGCTAGGCAATATGGTTCAGGCCAGTATGGCTGGACTGCAGTGAGACTTTGTTTCAAAATACAAAACAAATTAAGAAACAACTAATTAACAGGGATGGAAGTCTACACACAACCCCTGTTACAAACAGCACTCAGGAGACAAAGGAAGGTGGATCTGTGAGTTGAGGCCAGAATGGTTTACACAGTTTGTTCCAGGCCTGGAGACACACACACACACACACACACACACACACACACACAAAAAAAAAAAGCCTAATTTCTTCCCTTGGTAAGGGGAGGCAAGCTGCTATACAAATGAAGGCACTTTCCTGGAAAGTGTGGTGGAAGAGAACTGACTGCACACAGGTGTCTTTTGACCTCCATGGGCATGAGCATACCCACCCACCCACCTATATACCCAAACAATATTTTTTTTAAAAGGAAAAAAAAAATCCAAAAATCTTCCCTTGAGGGTCCCTACCTAGTCCTAGTGCTCTTCCTGTGCCTGCACTAAGAGCCTCCTGCTCTTCGATGGTATCACACAGGCTCATCTTCACCTAAATGATGGGCTTTCCTTGGTTCCCAGATGCAACACTACATAATATAGGTTTGGGAACTAATGGCGCTGGCAAAGTCCAGGGCCCAATTACCCAGTCCTGGGCCAAAACCAGCAGGTCTCGCTCTGTGGGTAGTGGTATGAGTAGAAACCTTTGTGCCCCATCACAAGAGCAAGGGGCCCCCACCCGGCCTTGGCCCACATGACCCCACCTTATGGTCTTTGTCATGATTTGAAAGGGATGCTTGGTGCAGTCCATGACCCTCTCATTGTAGGGATGGAGGCTGATAAGACAGCTTACTTAAAAAAAGAGTTAGGCTTTTTCCTCAGGTAACTCAAACTTTTTCCTTTTAAATAGGGGCTACTGTGTTTCTCTGGTTGGCCTGGAATTCATTATGTGGACCACAATGGCCTCAAGACCCAGAGATCTTTCTGTCTTTGACTCTTGAGTGCTGAAATTAAAGGCCTGTGTCACCATCCCTAGCTTACTAATAATTTTTTTTCATTTAGATTTACTTATTTTATGGGTATGAGTGTTTTGCCTGTGTGGGCATCTCATGCATGCCTGGTGCTCTCAAGTTGGAAGGGCATCAGATACCCTGGAACTGGAGTTAGGATGGTTGTGAGCCACAGTGTGGGTACTAGGAATCAAAACTGGGTCCTTTGGAAGAGCAGCCAGAACCCTTAACCACCACCATCCCCTTGAGACAGGGTCTTTCTTGATGTGGCCCTGACTTGTCTTAGAACTCTCTATGTAGACCAGGCTGGTTTTGAATTTACAGAGATCCGCCTGCCTCTGCCTCTCTAGTACTGGGATTAAAGACCTGAGCCACCACTCCTGGCTGTTACTTCTAATTTCTTTGAGTCAGGATCTTGCTACATAGCCCATATATAGCTATACTTGAACTTGTGACACTATTGCTCATGTTCCCAAGTGGCAAGATTACAGGTGTGCACCATCACACCTAGCTTTCTCAGGATTTTTTTTTTTTTTTTAAGAGAACTGAGGATTAAGACAAACAGGAAAGCCAGTTCAGAGGTCAAAATGCCCTCCTACCCACACCAATCCCACACCAATCTGGTTCCCAAGGGGTCTTTATCTTTGGAGTAGATGGTGTGTGTCCTGGCTGGGATGTGGTAGAAGCCTTAGGCCGCCAACTGCTCCCCCTCTCCTTCCTCCCTCCTCCTGGACAGTGACTTTGGTGTCTCTTGTACACACTAAGCACAGGCTTGAACACACAATACACCGCTGAGTTGCATTCCTATCATACTGACTGGGTATCTACCTTCCTAATAGAATACAGGGGCAGTGACCTGAAACTATCAAGAAATGCACTCTACAGTAATTTGTTGCATGTACCTGCGACTCTAGGGATAGGAGGAGCAGGGTCTGGTTCTAGACACAATGCTCAGTTTTAGTGGTACTATACCAAGGCAGAGAAGCCTGCTTTTTTGAAATTAAGGAAGACAGGAGCAAGGGTCCACTGTTTTCCTTATTTGGCACAGTCTACCCCTTTTAGCGCCTGCTTATTCAATAGGTCTCTTTGATGTGTCAAGCTGAACTGTACTAAGTGGCCTTGGTGTTTGTATCAATTTTGCACCAATTGTAAGTCACATGATCATTTAAAGTCAAGAGATGAGGCAGCTTAGCAGTAAAGTTTTAATGGAATAACTTTGGCACAGGCAAAGGCAGTTCCTAGATATTTCAGGACCTGTGGAGCCCCAAGAAACGGGTGTTTGCTAGGCTCCTAGGTTTAATTTCCCGGAGCACGAATGACTGGTTGGTCCCTGGCTCCAGGCCTTGTGCATCTGTCCAGCCTTCAGTAGCAAAGCCTTGATCTGTACATTAGGGATCAGAGCAGCTGCTCATGCAGTCGCCCAGATGTGCATCCGTGCAAGACAGCCATGACAGGGATGAGGGCCCCTTACTAGATGAGCCCAGAAATCCTTTTATCAGGACATGAATCCCTAATCCTAGGCAGGAGTGGGGCGTCAGTCTCCTGGGGCTCATCTAGGAGGGAAGAGGGTGGGTGCAGAGGAGCCCTGTGTCCTCCCTCTGGCGCAGCTCGAAGCCCCAGCTGGTTTCTGGCAGTCCTTGCGACCAGGCGCTTTAAACCCTAACCTCCCCCTCACGCTCCAGTAGGTCCGAGCCTGCTCATAGAGGGCGTGGTTTCCATCCCCTCCCGGCTGCCAGATCTTCTGACCTTTCCTTGGTGCTAAAGTCGGAACCTAAAGGGTCCGGATCCCGCCCCCAAGCCTGGTCACCTTGGGCCAGGATTCCCCTCACCTGCTCCAGTGGCGAGCGACTCCCCGCGGTGCTTGCGGCTGCCAGGCTGGAGAAGCGGCGGGGGGTGGGGGTGGGCGCGCACGCGCACCGGCCCACGCGCGCCTTGCCCCAGCCGCTCAGCCTGACGTGACCAGCGCAGGCCAATCCGTGGGATGCAAGGCCGGTCTAAGAGTTAGAGGTGGCGAAGAGGACTTATGTAGGGACCAAGGATAAGCAGGGCCGCACCAGCACCTTGGACAGCGCCAACCTAACAAGGCCCAAGGCGCACCTCTGCGCGCACGCGCACTCAGTCACCGGCGTGCAGGTGACAGGGGAC